CGAGCTGAAAAGTGATGATCCTTCCAGTGAGTCATTTAGATAGAGGACATTCTAGCTTATTTCTGACCTTCCTTGAAGTGCACACTGAGTGCTCTTTCATAACAGAGAGGTCATTCACATTTTTGTCTGAGACCTTTTCCAAACAAACTTAATGGAACTTGGTATACGCAGAAGGATGTAAAGGTGAACTGACAGCAGTGAGAATTGATCTAATTCTAGAAGTCTAGACTTAGAGAACCTGGTGCTTGAAAAACTGAGCTGTCTCCTCCAGCTATGTTCTAAGCACAAGTCTGTAAAATGTGCGTTTTTTTCAGGGCATAAAGACAGGGCAAGGTACTGCCTGAAGACTTCGTACAAGCCTCTCTGCCTTTTAACATTTAAAGCCTAACGCGTAATTTCTTTCTTTAGGGCAAGAAAAAGCCAGCACATGAGGGAACTTCTTTATCCTCTGAGGATTTCTAACACAAATAAATTATGAAGAAAACAGTCTTGACAACACCGATCTTTTGACAGTATCCATGTTAGAACTAGTGAGCAATGATGTTATCAGAGTTTCTGGAAATCCTATAGGATTGAAACAATAAATTGACTTTGACAGTCAAGGAAAAAAAACCCTCATTACCTTTATTCTTCTTTTTCTTTACAGCCCTAAGTATTCCAGCATGCACTGAACACACAGTCTACCATGTGTAGTGTTAATGTTCATTGACTGTCTGTAGCATACTATATCCACATTTGAGCTTCAGCAATCTTAAGACTTTTTTTTTTCTTCCATTGATAGCAACAACTATTTTGATTAAATTTCTGTGGAAAAATAGAGAACTTATTTCTGACTGTAGGAACAGTAGTCTAAGAGCTCCGTGTCAAGAGATTTTTGTGCTTTTGGGCATATGGGACTGGCATTTAACATCAGACTGGGAAAACGACCTGTATACTCGCAGAGGAGAGAATGGTTCTGGGATGGCACGGAAATAGGCATAGACATGGTCTCTGTGAGCTTGTGGTGCAAAAATGGGCTCATTCAGCGTGTATTTTTCCATGAACGCATTCACAATTATAAAATGTGCCTATTACTAAAATCTGTGCACATCTTGCTTAAAAATGTGCAAATTTGTTTTTTTTTTTCATTCTAGTTAGAGCCTCTTGAGCAAGCAAAGCTGGATTTGGTTTCAGTGTACACATTAAATTCAATGTTCTGGGGTAAGTACATGGAAGGAGGAAAAAGTAGTATTTATGATTGCCATTTGAACACCTTCTAGACAGCTGCAAAAATTAAATAATCATATTTCATAGCCAAATAATTAGAAACTCGTAATTACCCTGAGGACCCAAATTATTGCCATCTGTAGGGTAAATGATATTGAAACTCCAAATCAAAAATTGCTGTTTACAAAAGCTGTCTTTTTACATGCATGAGGATTTTTCTTTCTCTTTTTTTTTTGTGGCAAGCTTTTCTGTCCTTTTAAGGACAGAAAGTTTAATCATGTTGTATTTTTTTGTTTAGCTGCAATATTTGATGATAATAGTTTGTCAGATACTTAACAGCACAGTTAACTCCAATTTTTATTAATGGTTTTATGTGGAAACTACAGTTTGTCTATGTGACTGATTGACTGGGTCCTCAGTCATGCCAGCTTTCAATTTCAAAAAAAACATGGTTTTTTTTCTTGTAGTATATTTGGCTACTCAGGGAATCAATCCAAAGGAACATCCAGTGAAACAAGAATTGGTAAGATTCTTACACTGCGTGCACTGCAATATCTTACTTGGCCAGGACAGTTAACTCATATAGAAGTAAAAAAATATTTATATCTATGTTTAAAATTGATATGTAGCCATAATAGCATGCATATGCTACCTGGTGCTATGTAACTGTTCATAAGTGCTGCTGGGCTCTCTAAATTAAGTCAGTCGTATTTTTAGTTCCAAACAGGACTGTTTAAAGCAAAGTTGTAGAGTGTGCTGAAATTAGAAAAGAACAAGAAGAGAATGGTGTCATCTTTTCTTTTCTCTACCTTTGTTTGAGAATTGGATTCTGAACAGAGCAGCTTTTCACTTCTATCTGTTAAACGGAAAAATGTTACATGACTGATAGTAATTTATAACTTCCAGTACGGCATTTTTTTCTTATAAATACTTGGAATCATGTTAATCTCTGAGGCTGCCTTTTCTTACTTTGTATGACTCTAAAAGTATAGTGTGGTTGATTTACTAGGGAAGACGGGAAAGAGCCCCCTCCCCCTTCCAAGTCCTCCATTAATTCATTTTCTCAGCAGTAAAGAATCCAGTTCAGCAACAAAGCTAAAAGCTTTTTTGGCACCAGTTGTATGTGTATTGTCCAGTAATTCTGCATTAGTGACATATTTACAACCTGTAATAAATCTTTTAGGTTTGTCTTTATATTCCATTTAGATGCATGACTACAGTATAGAAGGCTGGCTATCTTGAAAATTCTGCTGACTTAAAAAATCAAATCATTTAGCCTGAAGAAAAAAATAGAAATCAAAACTTATAGCTACCCATTTTAATTCCTGTATAAATGAAAATATTAAATGTGGGTAATTGTAAAATACTTAGCTTAAATGTAATCCTTACATAACCAGCGGAACGGAAGATAGGACTGAAAAATGTGGAAAGCCAGCCTGAATAACAAGAATACTTCTATTTTTAATTCTGTGAGGTTTTCAGTAGTCTAGACTGTATCATATTAAAAAATGGATCAGTTAATATTTCATGAGCTTTCAGTCAGTTTCTTGTTCCTTCTGTATTATATACTGTCTGAATATTGTGTTAATTTAGCGATACTAAAAAATAAATTTTATCTTTTCTGCTGTGGATGTTTTATGCTGGTATTTTACTTCACAATTGCCAATTGTTTTAAGTCTGAAGAATGAGAATTATCATAGGCTAGATTCTTATCCAGTTCTCTTTTCCAAGTACCAAGGTGAATGAATGCACCTTCCTTCCTTCCAAGAGCATTATTCTTATTCATGTGGAAAGGGAATAAGAAAAGATTTTTGTCACAATTGTTTTGTTTTTAGAATTGCTCTCCTTGTGTCTGTACAGGGAATACAGGGAGATTCAAACTGTATTAATAAAACTCAAATTGAAGCTATCAGAGTTCATTTCTTTTGTCACGTTGATGTTTGTCAGCTCCTTTTTCCCGTGTTGATACATGTAGGTTTGCCATCTGTTCTCATTAGCCATCTCAGTCACCAAAGAAATATTACAGTCTGTCATTAGTTCAGACTCTGTAAAGCTGTCCT